CTGGACCTGTGGGACTGGACCTGTGGGCCTGGACCTGTGGAGCTCTGAACCTGTGGGGCTGGACCTGTGGGCCTGGACCTGTGGACCTGGACCTGTGGGCCTGGACCTGTGGGCCTGGACCTGTGGGCCTGGACCTGTCGACCTAGACCTGTGGAGCTCTGGACCTGTGGAGCTCTGGACCTGTGAAGCTGGACCTGTGTACCTGGACCTGTGGGCCTGGACCTGTGGAGCTGGACCTGTCGTGTGCCTGCCAGACCTGCTGACCCAGCCTCTCTCAACGCCACTTCGGCTCAGGAATGGGATCCTAGGCTTCTGATGGCTGCCTCCCCGCCTCTTCCTCCATCACCCTCTACACTCACTCCCTCCGAAAGCCACAACTTCTCAATAGCACAGGGAGACACTCTCCAAAGGCGTCATCTTTCTACCACAACCAGGACACACGGTTCGGGCCAGTGCAATCCGAGCTGGGCAGACACAACCGTTCATTTTCAGCTCCAATCCCAGTGCCACACCCCACGCGCCACAGGCCTCTGTCTCCCCAGAAGCAGTGATGACCAACGCCAGGCTCGTCGACAGCGGGGAGTCCCTGCCCAAGCACTTCTCACCCAGCCCCCTCTGTCCAAGACACCGTCGCCCTCCTTGATGGCTCAGCAACCCTCAATGTCCTCTTGCACGGCTCTCTTCCTGCTGCTTCCAACTATAAAGGCCTACCCATCTTCAGAAGTACAGCTAAGACAGGTCCCTTCTTCTCCATCCCTTCTGCAAGCACAAGAGGGCACAGCAAGAGCCCCAGGCCTCCAACCACCACAGGGCTTTCCACTCTGGCTTTAAGAGGCTGGTGTCAACCAGCTGCGGACATCAGCATGAGACAACCCTTCCTCCACAGCAGTCATTACCTGTCACCCTCACAGTACGGACCAGGCATATTGGGCGACACCAAGATCACTGCTGTGGTAACATCAAGATCACTGATGTTAATCCCTGTTCCAGAAGCTTCCCCGGCTCCCTCACTGCTAGTCAGGTTTACTCTGACTCCTTCACTTGGACTTGAGCACAGTCCAACACGAGCCTTGGCTGACACCCAGCCCGACCTGCACAGCCACACAGCGGGCGCCCTGGGCTCCAATGCAAACATCAGCCACGGTCACCAGGTGCTCCCGGAGCCCCTCTGCTGCTGGGGACCTCCCAGCGGCTCCCCCTCGCCCCCACCTCGGCCTTCCATCCACACAGTTCCTCTCCCGTCCTCTCAGTTCCTACAGTTTAGCACATGAATGTTATCTCAGGGTATTACCAACCTTATCTCCCGAACAACACCAAGCTCTCAAAGGGCAGGGACCTCACCATGTAAATTCCCCCAGCTCCTGGCAAAGCCTCAGGACCCCGCCTGGGCTCGCCTACTCCGGCTGCTTTCCAGGGCTGGCCCAAACGCCAATACAGCTGACCACACAGTGGCGGTTTCCACCGACTCGTCCAGGTGTGACGTAGGCTGTGCCACCCCGATCTGTGGCATCACCCCCCGACATTCACACAAAGACAGAGTCGCCTCGCCACGGAGTGCCCCTGGCTAGACAGGGCGGGCAGCGGGCTCTGCGAAGACGCCGCCCCCTCCAGCCGGCCGGCTGGCGCCCTCCCACCAGGCCACCCCAGTTCATCCTGTTCATTACCTCTGCGTCCCACACTAGGGCGGCGCGTGATCCCTCGGGTCCCCAGGCCCAGCAGAGCCTGGTCCACGGCCCACGCGCAAAATGTCGGCAGAGCTGAACACATCTAGTCAGCGCTCAGTCACGCGTGGATATGACTATCTTTGAAACTCCCTGAGCAACCTTTTTCCTAAATCTGACAGAAGATGACATCATGTTCCTCAAGCACAGGACCCACCAAAATACAACTTTCCTAGCCAAACTTCCTCAATAGCACCGTGGGCAAAGCCCGAGCTCTGGAACGAACAGCTCCTAGGTTCAAATCCCACCACTCCACTGCCATTGTCTTGGAGCCCGGGACAAGTTGCCTCAATTTCCCCATCTATGCATAAGGCCTCACTGTTTTCAGGGTACTGGCATGCACTACTACTCATACGGTGGTTGAACATTTCCTGTAGTTAATACTCAATCCTTCTTAGCTATTTTTTTTTTTAACGTTGATCGTGGAGATGGATTAAACCAAAAATAAACCTCTCAGACAAAAAGATTTCCAAATACTATTCCATGATTCACCAAATGGAGCAGATGTTATTTTAAAACACAGTACCTGAGATAATGATATTCAAATACCATTTCCTGTTTCACTTTCTACCCATTTCCGTTATCTACACTCTCAGACTCAAACGGGATACAACAAAGAAGACAGGAAATTTCTGTAGAAAAACCTTTCTCATTCACCACTGTACCCAAGGGACCCGCTGGGCCAAGGTCACGGCAGGTGTCTGCTCTAAGACAGCTCGAACCGCAGAGCACTGGCCCGTCATCCCTGACCAGACCAGACCACACGACCCCATTCCAGGCACCAAGGCCATGTCCCAAACCTGACGGGGCCATCAGGCTTGAGTCTTGTCATCTCAGCAAAGCTGAAGGGATTTAAAGAACACATGGCTGCCAGCCCCTCTCGCTGCTGGAACTGGCATAAAAACGCGACCGGTACACGATGGAAACAAACGTTGCCAGCATTCACCCTGCCGCCTTGGGAGCTGCTTCCCCTCCTGAAGAGCAGGCTGGACGAGACTCCGACAACTGTCCGCCAGAGCGATGGACAGGTCAAAGACGGAAGGTCTGGCGCCTGCAGCGGCTGCCCCTGACGCGGCCGCCAACCTTACACGCTCAAACCCTCTGCAAGGGACCCCAGAGAGACAACCAGTCATGCTCAAGATAAAGAAAAAAGCCAGACACACAGGAAACCCAAAGAAGGAGAAATGAGAAGCAGGCCGCTGCAGAGAGGGTCGGCAGGCTGGCTGGGCCCAGGGGAAGTGGTTTTCTCACCCGCCAAGTGAGAGCTGGCCCCAGAGGCCCAGGGTACGGGCCCAAGCAGGCCAGACGGAAAGGGCCTGAGCAAGAGTCAAGGGGAGGCAGGGAACCGCAGGGCGGTAGTAAGGTGTACAAAGCAGTGAGCCAGACACGCCGGGCTCGGCAATACACTCGTGCAGTCACAACTTTGGTGGCCCAGGCGGGACCCCGCACGGAAGGGCGGGCGGGCAGAATATGGGGGCGGGAGCGGTCTGGAAATCTAAGAATTCGACCAGGTGGCTTTTTCTTCCTTCTTATCACCAGGGATAGTTTCCGTGTCCCTACACCAAAGTATTTCACAATGGACAGCACGTAACAAAAGGCAAGAGCAGGCTGGGCCACGCAGCTGCAGTCACACAGCCAGGCAGGAGCACGCCGGCTCCCACGCAGCCAGGGCACAGGCTGGCGGCACAATGCCCAGCAACGGGGACACAGGAGCGTGGCCTAAGCCCATGGTACGCAGTCCTCGCAAAACCTCAGATCAGCACTATGATGACCCCCAGTGAAGGCACCAAAGGCAGGGGTGAAGCCAGAGTCCGATCCTGGGAGAATCGACAGCTGCTAATTCAATTGTGGGGGCTGCTTTCACGAATGGCCCGGTACCCCAGTTCCTGATCACGGAGAGATGCATCAGGAAAAGGGGAGAAAACGCCCCACCAATGCAACACACTTCCAAAGCAAGTAACTATAAATAATTAGTGTTGGCAAATGTTAGTATTCACTTGTTTAATGCTGCACCGGAAGCTCTCACGGACAAACCTGAGCTTCGGAAGTCTTGATCTCAAGTCTGTCTGCGTGGAAGGGAGCCAACCCAACATTCACCTCTAAATAGCACCTATAAATAGTCTTTATTCAACTGACTCCATGATACCGATGAAGGAACTTTTTCTGCCAGGAAAAAAGTTGACAAGGATTTCTAAAAATAGCTTTCTCCCAAACTCCCTACAGTTTGACATATGTGTATACATACATGCATACATGGTTTGCATCAATCTACAGGCATAGCTATATACCTATATCATGTATCTCCTGAGAAGTCTATAGTTAGCCTCACCCAGGGATATATGCAGGATAGAATGGTCTCCAAAAGGTACATACTGAGATGAAATACTAGAGAATTATTTTGAGTATCAGTTTCACTTTCATTATAGCCTTGATTAAATAGCTTAATCATAAATATCTCTACAGTGACCATTCCAGAAAGACAGCTTCTAAACCCTAATATGTTTCGCAAAACTGTCCTATTGCACCTATTTAAAAAACCCCAGAAGTGGAGACTTTCATAAAATAACTCTTGAGCCCATAACATAATCAGATCATAAGCCTTGATAGTTCTGCCTCTGCACACAGACACGCAATCTTCAGCTAACACTCTAACAAATGAGAGTCTATATTTTCCTTTCCTTTTAGTCTGGGTTGGGTCCCCACACTAGCGGAATGAAAATGCAAACACACAGAGACACACCAGTGCTTGTCAGCTGGGCGATTTTGCTCCCCAGGGACATGTGGCAATAACTGGGGGCATTTCTGATAGTCACATCTTGGGGAGGAGGGGATGGAACTGGCATCTAGGGGGTAGAGGCGAATGTCCTCAGTGCTTGACATCTCACCTTACCCAGAAAAGCCCCTCACAGCAAAGAATTCTCCACCCCCAAATGCCACTAATGCTGCTGCTGGACAGGGTGGGTCTACACAGATATAACTATATTTTTAAAAAGTAAACACATCAGATGCTAAGTTGTGGTTCTCTCAGTTAGATTATGGATGATTTCTGTTTTGTTCTTTTCATCTTTCTGTATTTTCCAAACCTTCAACAATGCACATATGTTATTTATAATGAGGAAAAACTCCATTGGGGGAAAAAAACTTCTAAGAGGACAAACGATTGAGTCCCCATCCTGTGGGGCCTCTCTCAAAGGACTGGTCTCAGTCTGCCTTCTGGCTTTCAGGGAAGGTTCAGGAAAATGTTCCTCTAAAGTCACCTCTCCGTCTTGAAGCTGTTACTCATTAGCCCTGGTTATAATGAATATTCCAAATAACTGAAAACCAGCAGCACGCTCAATGTTTCACATAGGAAGGAGAAAACTGAAATGTAAATCTGCATCTGTCTCCCAGTGAAGTCACAGCCACACACCCTGTTTTTCTAAACAGCCACATGAGACAGCGTAGAAGGAGGTGTTGCCACCAATGGAAGCAAAAACATTTTAAAAATTACTGCACACAGCCACATTTTCCTGTATAGTTCAAACCGCCCCCAGAAAAAAAAAGGAGGGGTTACTACTATCAATGCTGAAAGAGTCAACAACTCCATGTTTAAATGTGCACATCTGGGGTCAGTGACAAAAGCTTTGCAAGACTTGATCTGCTGCAGAAGCCATGTCTGATGCCACAGATTCCCAATAAAAAGTTAGTAATTATTTTTCCACATGCAATCATTATCTCATCACAAACTGGGGGGGGGGGGACCAAAAACCTGAAATGCAAGTTCTCAAGAGGGTGTATTCTAACACGAATTATAAGCACTTGGAATACATCCAAGATTACAATCCTTTAGAGTCACATCTTCATCCCTAGGCTACTTAACGTTCACGGCAAGTACCAGCCACTAGCATTTGGGAATCAATACTCCCGTGTCCCGCGCGCGCGGGGCCAGCTCGCTCAGAGATCGGGGCTCCCGTCCCCGGCCACAGCCTGCCCAGGGGCCGCCCCGCCCTCCGCCCAGCAGCTGCTGGCCGCGGCCCTGCTGAGGTGGCCGCGGCTCCCAGCTCCTGAACTTGGGGCCGGCGTGACTCACGCCCTGTCACATGGCGAGGGAGGAGGCCGGGAAGGCCACCGTTGCCAGGTGTTCGGGCTCAGCACGACCGTTTATTTGCCTTGCAAAGTGGCCCGCCAGCGCCGCTGGGGGCCGGCGGCCTCGCCTCCCTCCGCACCCACACCCCCCTGTCACCTGGTCGTCCTCACCTGAGTGGGCAGCAGGAGTTCCCCTTCTTCTGCCTGCCACAGCTCCACCACGTTCGGCAAGGGCTCGATCGCTGCACGAGGACCCAAAAAAGGCACCGCGTTTTTAACACACAGAGAAGAGACGTTTCCTGTCTCCCTCCCGTCCTCCCAACGCACCCGTCTCACCCAAACAAGTCTCCCTTTGCTCGGAAACGCAGAGGCCACCGCGGGGCCAGCCGGCATCAGCACACAATGGACCCGTGCAAGCCCGCGGCGCCTCCAGCCCGAGAGGCGAGAGCGTGCACAGTCGAGGGGCTC